CCGGTATGTGAGCTGTCCTGCAGCCACACTGGCTGCTCAGGGACATGTCTGGAATCTGACTCTTGTGCCCATGGTCCCCAACCAAGTAGGGTGTGGGTCAGTCAGCCCCAACAGGTGGACTTCCTGGGCAGCAGTGATGACAGTTGGCTGGAGGTTGCAGTTCCTTCTGTGGGTGTCTTGAGAGCCCCTCTTCCTTTCCAGCCAGGATCTGGCTTAGCCCTTGGGCCCATTTGTTTTGGGTCTTACATCTGGCCATGATTCCACTCCCCTCCAGCTGTGGTGGGGAGCACATCGTGACCCTTGCCGTCCCCGAGTACAGACCCTGACCTGCCTCGTGTGAGCAGGTGCAGTGTGCTCCTGGTCTCAGATGAGAGCCACCGAGTCAGACCTGAGACGGGCCCTTTGCCTGCTGAAAGCCCAAGTGCAACTGCTTTGGTCCATGTCCCTCAGCTTCTAGGAAGAATCAAGCAGTGCCCCTGGAGGGCTGCTGCAGCCAGGAAGGGTGGGGCAGGGTTGTGGGACTGCCTGGACCAGCCCTGCCTCGGTTTTCATAGAACCTCGTGGGTCTGAGTTGTGCAGAAGTGAGGCCTAACTGGGCATGGTGGCCATGTCTGGAACCGGGCAGGCTGAGGCAGGAGGATCCTAAGTTGCCTGGGCAACTTCGTGAGACCCTGTCTCAAAATAAGTATATAAATAGAAAATGGCTGGAGGGAAATCAAGTGGGCACGCCTGCTGAGAAGCAGCTCTCATTGCAAGCTGCCCTCGGAGTTCAGCTCCACCTGTACCTGTGGTGGACCTTAGGTGCAGGGAGCTACAGTGGACCCTTGCAGGCCTCTCCTGGCAGTAACCAAGGGCAGAAAGGATGGGGCTGGCCCTGATAGGTCCTCTCTGCATGTGCCCAGCAGGAGGAGCCAACAGCTGGTGTGCAGGCGGGCAGAGCCAAGCTGTTCATGGTGGCCGTGAAGCAGGCCCTGAGTCAAGCCAGCTTTGACACCTTCACCCAGGCCCTGCAGGACTACAAGGGCTCTGACAACTTCGAAGCCCTGGCAGCTTGCCTTGGGAGCCTCTTTGCTAAGGACCCCAAGAAGCACACCCTGCTCCAAGGTGCCCTGGCTTGCAGAGCCCTCTTGCCATGGGTGGAGTACCTTAGCTGTTGGGGGTGGGGAGCACTTGCCAGAGGGCTTCTAGGGCCTAAGGTTGTCCCTACCCTTTGGACAAGGGGCCTGGTAGGCCACCCACAGCCCCTCAAACCTCCATCTCAGTGGCCACAGTACATGGGCCCAGGCAGCATCCCTTCCTAACAGGGTTCTACCAGTTTGTGCGGCCTCACCACAAACAACAGTTTGAGGATATCTGCTTCCAGCTAACAGGCCAAAGCTGCAGCTGCCAGCCAGAGCACAGTCTTTCCCATGGGCAGCATGCACAGTCAGCCCAGGACCACAGTGGTGAGCTACCAAGCAGGATCCTCAGCCTCTGACCCCAAGGATGGGTGGTACCTGGGACCCTGGGTGGTCAGAGTGGGCATCTGTGCTCTTGTTTGGCCCAGCCTCCCTGCTCCTATGTGGGGGCTGATGGCATTACCATAAGATGGAAGCACTTATGTGGGCAAGCCCTGTTCCTATGCACTGGGCTGGGCCTAGGCCTCCCAGGAGAGACCTGCACTTGGGGAGCCAGGTGCACGTACCAGGTCTAGATGCTAAGCACTTCTCTACCTTCTTTTCCTTCCTCTGAGCTGAGGTGAGCTGGGTCCTAGAGGGGCAGTGCCTGCTGCTGCTTTTTCAGAGCAGGCTCATCCATAGGAGTCTGGGCTGGTGGCGGGTGGAGGTCCTGGTGCCTGCACCTATGGCTCTGTGCTCCTGGGCAGGGCCTTAGCCCTGTCCCCCTCCCCCAACAGAAGGGCAGCTGTGTGGGCTGTACTCAGCTCCCCCAGGTGCCTGCAGCATGTGCAAGTCAGGGTCACTGCTCTGGACTGTGGAGGGTGATGAGACCTGGTCTCCTCTGGCCAGTCCTGTTCCTGCCCTGGGGACCCTCTCAGGCCCTCAGGAGCATATTTCTTCAGGAAAGAGAGAATATGAGCCCAAGCTGACCCAGTCTGAGGGTGTATCCGGGCAGCTGGATCCTGGAAAGCACCTGAACCAGGGTGGGCCCCACCTGTCGGCCAGGCTGAGCCCTGCAGGTACCTGACTCCTGTAGACCTAGGTAGGGTGTATAGTTCTCAAAGAGGCTTGTGCTCTAGTTTGGTTTGAGTGGCGGCAGCCAGAACAGTCTGGAGCAGAGCTGGAGCCACTGGCAGGGGTGTCTCCTGTCTCCTATCTGCTCTCCATTATGCTCCCACTGTCCTGACCAGCACTAGGCTCTGCAGGAGTTCCTGGAAGGAAAGGGAGTGGAGGGGGAGCCCTGGACCCCCAGAGGCCCAACACTACCTCTGAGCCATTCTACCCCTGATCAGGAGCCCTGGGCAGCTGTCCGCAAGTCATGTCCAGAGAGGAACAGCGGGGCCAGCCTGCTGTGAGTGCTTACCTGGCAGATGCCCGCGAGGCCCTAGGGTCTGCAGGCTGCAGCCAGCTCCTGGCAGCACTGAAGGCATATAAACGTGATGATGACCTCAACAAGGTTCTGGCTGTGCTAGCTGCGCTGACCACGTCAAAGCCTGAGGACTTCCCCCTGCTGCAGAGCAAGTGGCCCCAGGGTGGGGTGGGCAGGGCAGGAGAGCTGTGGAGAGGATGGTGTGGGCCTGGCCACGCAGGGTAGGTACAGCCTGAGCAAAACTCCCCACAGGGTTCAGCATGTTCGTGCGTCCCCACCACAAACAGCACTTCATGCAGACCTGTGCAGAACTGATGGGCCTGCCCACCACAGGGACAACACTGCAGAGTCCTCAGGAGAACTTCCCTGAGCTCACCCTTGGAGCACCTCAAGCAGGTGGGCACCTGTTTGGGCACTCTCTCTGCCCGTTCTGTCACACTTGAGTCACCTGCAGCCCTGGGAAAGCGGGAAGGCAGGAGGGCAGCACTGGGCACCCCTCCAACTTGCTCCTTTCTGCAGGTCCCTCACAGGTGGATAAACCAGGGAAGACCCAGAGCAAGATCTCCTCTTTCCTTAGACAGAGGCCAGTGGGAAGTGCAGTACCCAAGGGCACCACCACAGACCAACACCAGGCCTCCTGATGGGCATGCAAATCCTGGGTGGGGTAAGCTGTACGAGGCTGCACAGACTGCTAAGTGTGGGGGATGGCACTGGGAGGGCAAGTGAGCTCACCCAGGGCCCCTTGTACCAGGTTTCCAGGCAGAGAACACAGTGCCTCTCCTTTGATTTCCACTTCTGGTGATGGCATTTCAGGTGGTGGGCTGGGTAGGAAGAAGTTAAGGCCCTTCACTAGGCCGTGGTGTTCAGCAGACATGCCCAGCAACCTGATGTCTCCACAGGCCTCCAGGAGGTGTCCTGTCATGCTGCTGCCAGGAAGCACATCACACAGGTCTTCTGGCCCAAGCTCCAGTGAACATCTGTGGAGTACCTTGTGCCCTGCTGTGGCCCCCACACTGGCTTGTCCCAGGTGTGGTATGGTCCAGGAGTCACCCTCTACAGGCCTCAGACACATGGGGCCTGGGATAGGTCTGCTAGAAATTCTTCTCTGTAACTTTCCCCAGGGGCCTCTGTCAGCTATGTGCAAACAAAACTGCCGACAGTGGCCAAGAGGTGTCTGTGTGACCTTGCTTGTTGGGGTATCTGAGGATACACTGAAGATCTGGGTAGCAGGGAGGGTGCTCTTGGTACTCTCAGAGGAGACCTGCATGTATGTATGTTGGGCCAGCCCCCTCATCCCCTACCAATCACACCTTGGGCTCCACCCAGGAGGGTTCCTGCCTTACCTAGCACAAGGACAGTGGCCAAGACAGAAGTGAGCATTCCCACAGGCTGGCATGCTTTTTCCTATTGCTTGGCAGGCAAGCTGCAGCAAGCACATGGCAGTGGCCCCTTGCCTGTGCTTGGGGGGTTTGGACTGGGCAATGCCCACTCCAGCAAGGACAAGAACACTGGAGAGACTGGTCCTGTTGCCCTGATGGGCACTCCCTACGCTGGAGCTGGTGTGACCCAATGCCCAACCCTACCCCCTTCACACAGCCAGGACCAAGTGCAGGTGCAGGAGCTTGAGGCAGCGCTGCCTGGCTGTATTTCACAAATGTGCCTGACACCACACCCTGGCTCCTTTGTGCATGCAGGTTTCTGGCAGGTGCACGAGAATCTGCACATCAGTTCTGGTCCCCTCCCTGGGACCATACAGTGCCAGCCTGTGCACTAGTTACACCCTCTCCTGCCCCCAGCCCAGGACCAGCAGAGCAGCCTGGAAGGCACAGCAGCTAGGGAGGGCCTCCAGAAGTTTCATAGGGTTGGGAACTCCAAGTTCCCACTAAGTCTTTAAGCTTTTCAGGGATGCAGAGGGCTAGGATTCAAGTTAGGCTAAGCTCCACTGGAGAAGTCCCAGAAGAATCTTGGACACACATTCCCTGCCCTTGGGAAAGGCCACTGCTTCCTTGGACAGGCCCAGAGAGCCCAGGTTTGTGAGATGCAGATGCTAACCTTTGTCCTACCACACCTCATGCCTGAACCTCCCTGTCCCTCCCAATTCTTTCTATAGATAGGGCAGACCCCTCGGCCCTTGCACTGGCTGCCCTGGTCTGGAGCTGCCGGGCGGCTGCCCCACCCCTGTGCTGCCTGGGCTTTATATTCCATCTTTGCCCTGTACCCTGCAGTTTACTTTTGGTCTGTGAAACTGGTGGCCCATGTGCCCACTCTGACACTCCTGCAGGGAGACAAAGGAATGTTGAGTATATTATCACTGACTTGGTGGCTTCCCAGGGCATCTCCAAGAGGCTGTGGTGGCTGGAGAACAGGTCGCCACCCAGGGAGAGTGGCATGGCTTTGCAGTCAACACTCAGCTGATGTGGCACACCCTATTCCGCACACCCTCACCCTGCCTCTAGACCCCAACATCACCAAGGGAGACTTCTTAAGGTTTATTTTAAAAAGCCATTTTGTAAGACTTGTTGCTTTAAAGTCATGTTTCTGTTAAAGACAGGCAGGGATACCTGGTGGGAAGTTCCACCCTGCCCAGGTGCTTCAGCAGACCTTGGGGTCTGGGCCCGCCTTTCCCACCCATACCTGAAACACCAGGGCATATCATCCACAGGAAGGTCTGTGAAATACCCATTTCCCCAAGTCTTGCTCTGGTTAAGTAGCAGAGGAAGGATGGGGGAGCACCCACAGGACGTCTCACTGTGCTAGAGGGACCCCTTTACCCTGATCTTTTGAGTCTCACCCACTTCTAATGTGCAAGGGGATTTCCCATGAGAAGCCCGGTCAAGGACCTCAAGCATCCCATTGCCTTCTCAGAAACAAGGTGGCCTCCAGACCTATCCAGAGAGCCTAAGGAACTGGGTCTGCCACCCTCTCCCCTTCCAGGGTGGCCAGGTCCTTCCTGAGGCTGGAGACCCTCAGGTCCTAAGAATCAACCTGCAGAACACCCTTTGGGGCCTGCAAGGGTGGGAACAGAGACTTTATCAAGGACTACAGCTAGACACCCATTTCCCACCCCCTCCAAGATAAAGTCTGGTTGTGACCTGATCTGGAACAAAGAGCCACCAATTCTCTGGACTGTGGCTGGGCTGCTTTCCACACCCACAGGATGCATTCATGGCTCCTTACTTGCCTGGGGAGTTGCCACCTGCCCACCCTGAGGGCCCATGGTACAGTTCCTTGCTACAGTCACTCTGCCAGACAGAAGGGAACCTGGCCTTTGGGCTGCTCCATGGAATGGATGGACAGGAGCTGTTCTGACTGCATTGCTGCCCTGGCTGCACTGGAAGGGCAGAGTGTTATCTCCAGAAACACCACCCAACCTGCAGGGTAAGAAGGACATACACACCTGCACGACCTCCCAGCATTTTCATGTTACCCCTCCCCTGGGGACTAAAGCAAGATGATAATGGACCAGTGGGCATGGCCACCTAGGAAGGTCTCCACTCTGTCCCAAGGTTCCACCAAAGCCCAGGGCCCTGCTGTGGACCAGATCCTCTCAAGGTAAGACCAGCCCCAGACCACCTCCAATATGAGGCATAGCCATACCTGCCTCCTCATGGGAAAGCTGGACAGAATACCCACCAGAGCCAGATCCTCATTTCCAACCCATCTCCCTAAAAACCCCACCTTGAATGGGCAGGCAGGCCTCAAGGGCAGCCTGTCTACCAGGGCCTCACCCAGCTCCATGCCTGGACTGGGAAGGTCTCCCAGCCTGTGGTGGCCTGCCTGGAGCCAGGTGGGCCCAGCTGCCCGGCGCCTCTTGGCAGAAGCCTCTGGATGCCTACAGTTTTCCAGACAGAGTAGTTTGTCTTACAGAAAACACAGAGCAAATGAAGGAAGCAAAAGGCAAAGCAAACCCAACCCCCAGCCCCATGGCACAGGAGCCCGTGGCAGGGAGCGAGCTTCTTCAGCACTTGCAGAAGGGCCATCCAAGGCAGGGCTCAGGTGTGCCTATGTGATGTCCCTCTGCCGTGGTGGCCGGTGGACGTTCCGCACGACGCACTTCACCATCCACTCGATGCCCTCGCGCACTCCTTTGCTGTAGAGACAGTGGTGTGAGGCAGAGTCGGCCTCGGTGCCCAGGCCCGTGTTGGGGAGGCCCACTCACCCCGTGAGGGCAGAGCAGGCTTGGGTCAGGCAGTCTCGCCTGCCAATCTTGCAGGTGCAGTCACTGAACGCAGTCTTGATGTCAGGAATTGAGAGGCAAGTCTGGGGGAAGAGGAGGCCCTAAGAAGCAGCCCCCATGCCTGCCCCATCCAGGCTGCATGGCAAGGACCACCCCCACCCTGACAGCAGTCCCTACAGCAGCCACAGTGAGAACGTGGGCTCCAAGTAGGGAGCTGACACAAGCCAGGTAGCAAGGCAGTGGGTCTCAGTGGCCCTGGTGGGCAGGGTGAGGGAGGGGGAAGTGGCAGTGTCAGCCATGGGGTGGCTTCTCCACTCACCCTTCCCTGAAAGAAGACCCCACCCCGTGACAGACAACCCCCATTAGTGGTTTCCAGATGCAGGAGCAGGGCTGGTGGGGCAGGTCTGCAAGGAAGCCAGGGAGACAGGCTAGGGGAGGGGCAGAGGCACTTCCGGAGAGTGAGGCTTTCCCTGGCCCTCCAGACACTGGCAGCCACTGTGGTCTGCAGCTGCTCTGTGCAGAGCCTCTCCATGGCAGCATCACCTCCAAGGGGTTCCAAAGGCTTGGGGGAGGTTTGGTACAGACACTGGCTCCAATGATGGTGGGGACAGGATGGGGTCAGAGCTGACTCTCACTCAAGGGCCCCTCACAACTTGTGAGCTCAGAGCTTTCACCTGGGTCTCCCCAGCCCCACGCTAGGACAGAGCACAGTCACCCTCCAGAGGAGAAAAGATGCCCACACAGCAGGAATATGTCTCTGAGGTGCTGCCCTCCCCTCGCCAAAATCCTGGCACTTCCCTAGGGAAGAGGGTGGTGCCTACAGCAGGGTGAGAGCGCCTACAGTGAGGATGGGTCTGCCTAGTGATGACAGCTCCAGGACACTCAGAGAGGACCTGGGCTCCGGGAGCTGGAGGTCCTGAGCACGTAAGACAGAGAGGCCTCAAGAGCTCTGTGCACCAGAAGGACGTGGAGCTCTCAGCATGAGGGCACACACACACACCACTCTCCTTATAGTTGGGACACAGGGACTCCAGAGAAGTTGTGTGGGGCTCACCTCCACATCCTGCTTGTTGGCCAACACCAGGATGGGGACACCGTCCAGCGCCTCGCTTGCCACCACCTTCTCTGGAGAGGGTACGACAGGCAGCACCTTGCACCCTGCATCCTGATAGCAGGCAGTGCCCGGGGCCCACAAGCATGGAGAGTGGCACCAACTCTCCTTTCACCCTCCCCTCATATGCCAGGAAGCCAGCTCCAAACACCTGGACCAGACCGGACCATGTCCAGGCTAGATCCGACCTCCCCTCACTTCTCCCCGCACAGCCCTGGGACATAGATTCTTGCCTCTGCTCTATCTGGGTTACACTCACCAAATGCCTGCTTCGACTCAGACAGCCTCTCCTCGTCAGTGGAGTCGATGACATAGATGACACCATGGCACTCTGCATAGTACTAGGAAGACATGGAAGATGGCTGGAGCCACCACCCTGCCAAGGGTGGACTTGGCCAAGCTCCCCGTCATGGCCATCAGGAGGGGTCCATAAAAGGAAGATTCTCACTTCCGGGGCCACAGTCAGGTAACAGGTGCAGCCCCAAGGGGAAGATCTGCTGGGGTGCTTTCTGGAGCTGGGGGAACTCAGTTGTAGACACACATCCAGGGCCTTTAGGGAAAGGCTTGTTGACCCTGATGATGTAGTCATCCTTCTCCTGCCTAGGTGCTGTCCTAAGAACCCACCAGCGGCCGTGGGCTGATGGTGGCATTAAAGAGACAGGGCTGGGAGAAGTCCAGATCTTAGCCTAGTCTCTGTGAGGAGTGCACCTGGGGGTTTGTGTAACACCTGGCACAAGGGGAAGCACAGCAATGGGGATGCAAGAGGGGCAGGCATGTTTCTGACAAGGCACTCGGAGAAACCTACAAAGCTGCCCTGCCCCTGCTAGGACAGTCACCCCTACTGAGTTCAGACCTCTGCAGGCTGGACATGGCCAGCCCTGGGCTCACCAAGGGTGATAAGTGGGCAGCACTACTGGGGCAAGACAGAGGGCAAGGCAGACACAGGAGGTGCAGGTCTACATGGCAACAGCCAAAGATTCAGCAGGTGTATTTTCACCCCAAGCAGAACAGAATTTGGGAGACTGCATGTCCTTGTGGCACAGATAACAGCATGCCTGCCACTTCACCCGGGGCTACACCAACTCTCCTGTCCCAGCACACTGGTACTCGGCATTGACGAGTACCAGGATATGCTCTTGAAGAACAAGACAAGCCAGCGGTCACATGCACCCCTCAGGTGGGCAATAACTGGCGAAGCAGCAGGCTGCTAGCTCTGCAAGAGCCTTAGGGCTTCTGGTCCAGGAACAGATAAGCCACTGCACCTGAGAAATAGGAGGCTCAGTTCCAGATGTCCTCCTGGGTTCTACAGTGAGACCCATACACTGGAGCTGCTCTGGCCTGGAGCTAGGCCTGGCACACAGGCTGCCAGCTCTAGGAGGGCTGGGCAATAGGCTGGCCTCTTGCTACAGACTCAGGAGCTGGCAGGTTCTACCAGAGGGTCTATAGCCAGCCCAGTAAGTCCCAGTAGCACCTGAAGTGCATGAGCAAGGCACAGTTAGGATAACTGGGTGTCAGACCTTGGAATTCAGAGCCACCCTGAACACCTACCATGCACAAGATGAATGGCTCAGAGACAGCCAGTGAGATGGGAATAGCACATTAGCTCTCCAACAGATGCAACACACCTCTGGCCATGTAAGAAAGCCCTGAACAACCCTAAAGGGAAATACCCAAGCATGGGTCAGCTAGACAGGTAAGGACAAGCCAGAGCTGAAGAGCAGCTCACCTGCTTGTGTGAGAAGTCGTGGCCTGAGATGCATGTGTGCCAACTTGTGGACAGCATGGACACAGGGCCTGGAGCAGAGGCAAGCAGCAGGCACAAGGAGTAGAGACCTTGGTGCCTATGTAAGGTCCACCAGAGCAGCTGCTGGGGATAAAGTGATTTGGCCAGCCCAGTGCAGGGATGTAGCACTGGGTGAGTGAGAGGCGGTGACTGTGGTGGCAGAGCACAAGCCTAATGGGACAGGCTCCACTCACCAAGGCTGAGGGAACCACCACCAGGGATGCAGCCTGACAGTGACAGCAGGGCTGAAGCTCAACAGGGTGTGGTCCTCAAGGAAATCAGAGGAACTCTGGAGACAAATTAATCTCAGCAGCAATGGGTACTCCCACCATGAGATGTCAGCCCATGATCCAATATGTCACACAGCCCCAGAGGCTCCTGTAAGCCACTGTCATGGCATGGGCCCCACACCTGGACAGTCTCACGCAGGGCTGGGCCAGCCACAGTATTTACCTAGCGGCAGCCTGCAGGGGGCCAGGCCTCAGGATGAGATCAGCACTCCCAGTTAGAGACCTGAGGTACTGGGCTCCAACAAGGAGGTCACAGCATTCAGGGACCACAGTTGAATAAAGGCCCCTTCCTGTCCCTCCCAGTAACCTATGGGGGACTCGGCTGACTGTCCCCATAACTGAGGGCTCTGTGGGGTTGGAGGTCTGCTCACTAAAGCAGCAAGTGCTCCACAGAGTTGCTGAGTCATAAACCATGGCTGCCCGGGAGACCCCACCTTGGCAAGGTAACTGACACCAGTTGGCAGGGGCAGGGAAACCCAGTGAGCCATCTGGACAAGGGCTTAGACCACTAGGATGAAGTCATGCCTCAGCAAAATGGTGACAACAAAGATGAACACAGCCCAGGATCAGGTGACAAGACTATAGGCCCACATTCTCCTGGGCCAGCCTCCCCTTGAGAAGAGCCATTCCCCAGAGCAAAGATATGAACACAAGTGGTACGCAGCTGGCCATGGGGCCCCACTGCAGTCTTGCTACCCAGTGGCAGGCACTTTGGCTATTGCAGGACCCACTTTGGCTGCTAAGAGCCATCTTACCAGTCACACCTGTCCACACCGGTGACAGGAGGAGTCCTAGTCATCTTTGTCCAACATGGTACAGCTGTGACAAGCAACTCTCCTCCTGTACTCCCAGCTTGCCAAGGCCCTGCTGACCCCATCACCCAAAGTGACGTTTCCCCCTGCTCAGTCCTGTACCCTGCTTGCTGCCTTCCCAGCACAGATCCCCAATGTGCACACTATGCCCAACCCATCCTGGCCTCCATTCCTGAGACCCTGGCTCCCCAGTTGCATCTGCATTTAGATGAGAAGACCCTGACTTGGCTTATTCTCTGTCCATCTTCAGGCCACAGGACCAGCACCATCCTCTTGACTGGAAGTCAGGGTAGGACAGAACACTTTGGTGGGACCCAAGAAAGGAGACCAAGGTCAGAATCAGGTGCAGGTCCTCAGGTTTTTGTATTTTCTTTTCTCTTATGCAGTCTGGGGACTGAACCCAGGGACACTTTTCCACTAAGTTACACCTCTTAACTTATTTTATTTGCGTGGTGCTGGGGATTGAACCCAGGGCCTTGGGCATGTGAGACAAGCACTCTAACAACTGAGTTATATCCCCAGCCCCTTTTTTATTTTTTGAGACAGGGTGTTGCTACATTGCTGAGGCTGACCTTGAACTTGGAATCCTACTGTCTCAGCCTCCCTGGGATTACAGGCATGTTCCACCATGCCTGGCTGGATACTGTGTGTGAGGGTAGCTGAGGCATCTGCACTATAGCACTGGGATCCCCTAAACCCACAGTGCCAACTCATGGGGCAGGAGTTCCCTAAGGGAAGGGCCAGGTCTGTCCTGCTCAGTACCGGACCCAGTGCCTGGCATAGGTTAAGCTGAACCCACACTATAATCTAGGCTGTGTATGGAGAGGGGTACCACACTGGGGTCTCAGAAATGCCCATAACCTACATCAAAACAGGAAGCAGTTTCTGTCTGCTTGAGGACACTCCCTGGTATGGGGAAAAAGCTACCAGAGAAAAATGTATAATGAGCTAGAATTGAGACAGATGGATCCACCTGCAGATGCAGGTTCTGTGCCCACCCCTCATCTGATTCTTGCCATTTTTGCCTGTATCCTGTGGTGATCGGCAACTAAATTACTCTAAGCAGGAAGGAAACAAGTGCGTTCTCACTTGGCAAGCGATGATGGTGGTGAAGAGACCTCCTGCTTCTCCCATTTTTTCTCTTATGCTGAGAAACAGTTGCCTTGATGACTCTGTGACCAGGCCAGCTGCCTGATTTTCCCAGCAAGCTTGAGCCCTAGCTGGGGCCTTGAACATTCTCTGGTCTTGGTAAGTGTTGGCTTACCCCAAAGTTATTCCTAGTTTGACTGTTCCCCAAAATGCTCAAAAAGAACTGAAGTGGTCCTGAGCCAGATGCCTTAAAATGCCCAGGTAAACCCCATTCCTGGCCTGCTGGTTTAGAGCAATCCTTTCCATCATTAACTGCCAAAAGACAGGTTGCAGCTCTCTGTGTTCCCCCAGGAAGTACTCTGTGCTGACCACCACAGGAATCCCCTGCTGACACTTTTGTGGTGACTCTAGCAGCATGTTTGGCTGGAATGAAACAGGGAGTGACTGGGAAACCTGGGACAGAACCAGAGAGAACCCTCAGGGAAAAAAGTGGGTAATGGACTTTCACAGAGGAAGACCAAGAGCTATTATCTGCAAAGAAATGCTGTGGGGACAGACTTGAATGTCTTACCTTGTCCCACAAGGACTGCAGCTCTTCCTGTCCTCCTAAGTCCCAGAACATGAGGCGAGTCTTTCCCACATCTACAGTACCAACTGGGGAGAAGAGAGAATGGGCAAGCTCATGACATTAGTCTTTGACACACCAAGTCCCAGCTCTCCTAGGGAAAGGGCAAACCACTCTGGTGCCACCCACAGGGGTCTGGGAAGCAGCGTAACACACAGGGCTCTGGCCACTGATGGGCTGAATTGTGGCCATAACAGCATCCTTAGGGGTACCCCTAAATTCACAGCTTTAAGGTGCGTCTTACTGTTTAGACCCACGGTGGTAGTGATTTTAGACAGACTCATGCCCTTGTACTGCTTGTTAAACCGGGTTTTCGACTGCTCCAGGAAGGTCTGAGGAGAAAGGAAAAGGCAGCTAAGGCAGTTTTCCAGGTGTGCTTCTCAAATACTCTTATTTTTTTATTTACTTATTTTTTGTACTAGAGCATTAACCCAAGGGTGCTTTATCACTGAGCTACGTCTCCACTCCACCCCCACCTTTTTAAAATTCTGAGACAGGGTCTCACTAAATTGCTTAGGGACTGGTAAATTGCTCAGGCTGATTCTGAACTTGCCATCTTCCCGCCTCAGCCTCCTGAGTTGCTGGGATTACGGGTCTAACCTTTAAAAAAAAACAAAAAGAGAAACCAAACAGATCCGTGTGCTGCTCTTCAAGAATCTGGTGGTGATCACGGCCCTGTGTTGCACAGCAGCTACGGGTACAACCCCCAGCAGACCCTGGCAGGGAGGGGCCGGGCAGGCACCTACCGTCTTCCCGGCGTTGTCCAGGCCCAGGATCAGGATGCAGTACTCATCCTTCTGGAACATGTACTTGTACAGCCCGGACAGCAGTGTGTACATCCTGGGACCCGAGAGACGACATGGTGCGCACCGCCAGCACCCCACTCCCCTGGCTTCCCCTACGGTCCGTCCGTCCTGCGGGCAGCTCAACTCGAGTCCGGGCGTTCCCGGCCACTCTGGAAGACCCCTGACCCAGCTCTTCCCCGACCACTCCCACCGCAGCTCGTTCCGCGGGTGGGCAATGGCCGGCCTTTCAGAGTCCAGGCCCTTTCCTGTCCTTTCCCTCTCCCGCCTCCCAAGCCTCTCTCCCTCTGGACCACGTACTTGGAACACGCCTGCAACTTGCAGCCGCGGCCCAGGGCTAGCCAGTTCCCGAAGCGCTCACTGGCGGGGCCGGGTTCCTGTGCCGCACCCGCCGCGGCCCACCTGCACCCGCACCGACGCCGCAGCCTCCGCAGCGACTTCGGAGCCTCTGCCGCTGAGGTCCTGACTCGGCCGACCCCGCGTTGACCCCCCGCGCGGCGCTAGACTGGACGCGGGTTGAGGTCGGGACTAGGCCGCGTCCCGGCGGCCCCCGCGCGCGGGCACTTCCGGCGGTGGCGGCGCTCGGGAGGAAGTGCCCGCGGCGGGCGGAAGGCGGGCGCAACCGCTGTGGCGTAGAGGCCGGCGGGCCCTTGACGGCGGCGCGGGAGGCGGCGGGGCCGGCTGCCGCGCGCCTGAGCGAGCCTGCCGTTACGGGCGAGCGGCCGAGCCGGCACCCCTGGCCGCGCTCCCGCCGCTCCGCCCGCGCCCCTCCCCGGACCCGCGCAGCCGTCGAGATGGACGAGGAGAGCCTGGAGGCGGCCCTGCAGACCTACCGCGCCCAGCTGCGGCAGGTGGAGCTGGCCCTGGGGGCCGGCCTGGAGGCGGCCGAGCAGGCCGACCTGCGCCAGCTGCAGGCCGACCTGCGCGAGCTAATCGGGCTCACCGAGGCCAGCCTGGTGTCCGTCCGCAAGAGCAAGCTGCTGGCCGCGCTGGACGCCGAGGCCGCGGGGGTGCCCGCCGGCCCGGAGATGGGCCCGGAGGGAGAGGCGGGGCCGGGACCCGCGGAGCCCGGGCGCGCGGAGCCGGACCCGGACCCGGACCCGGGAGAGCTGAGCGGCGCCAAAGTGAACGCCCCCTACCGCAGTGCGTGGGGCACGCTGGAGTATCACAACGCCATGGTGGTGGGCACCGAGGCGGCGGAGGACGGCTCGGCGGGCGTGCGCGTGCTCTACCTCTACCCCACTCACAAGTCCCTGAAACCCTGCCCGTTCTTCCTGGAGGGGAAGTGCCGCTTCAAGGACAGCTGCAGGTGAGGCCTTGCCCTGCCCGGGGAGTTGCAGCGGTGTCGGGATGAGGTGTTTACTCGGGTTTTTCTTTTTAATTTTTTTTTTTTTAGTAGTAGATGGATACGTACCTTTGTTTTATTTATTTGTTTTTATGTGGTGTTGAGGATCAAACCCAGTGTCTCATCCATGCTTGGCCAGCGCTCTACCACCAAGCCCCAGCCTCATGTTTACTTGGATTTTTTTTTTTTTTTTTTTTTTGAGAAATCAATAAGTCTGCGTTTATACTGTAAAGAACAATACCCGCCCATCATCAGTTTACTCTCCAGAGTGAACCTTAAAATTAGCTTTTTCTTTTTTTTTTTTTTTTTTTGGCGGTGTCAATCCACATACTGGGCAAGCGCTCTGCCACTGACTTGTACCTCAAACCCCAGGATTTACAGGAGTTTTCAAACATGCACAAGATTAGAGCGGTGACAACTGCCAGCTTCATTATTTATCACATTTTCCAATTTTACATCTATTTTCCCTTGCTCTACCTTTTTTTTTTCCCCCTGGACTATTTTAAAGCAAATTCTAGAAGTTCCTTTTTTATTTTTGCCCGTAAGTGCTTCAGGGTGCACCTATGATCTACTTGATGAGGATATTGAATAAATAATGTCCGCATCTTTACATCTCAGGAATGGGATGGCATCACCTCATCAAATGCAAATGCCCTCATTTACTGCCACGGTGTCTATTTTTTTTTTCCCTTAACACATAGTTTTGTTTTTACTTCATCTTTAGAAGGAGTATTCACTAAAACTTTTCATAGTTGATTTTCTTTTAAGCCAGTAGTTCAGGATGACTACTGAACTTTTTTGTTTTGTTTTGCTGTGTGGGATTGAACCTCAGCTGACTCTAACCCTGAGCTACATTGTACTTCACCCATTTTGATTTTGATTTTGACATATGATCTTGATAAGTTGCCATTTTCCTGAATGACTGGGACTATAAGTTTATGCTACTGCACCTAGCTGAATATCATACTTCTTAGTAGACTCTTGGTATATTTTTTCCTTTCCTTCTTCCCTCCTTTCCTCCCTCTCTTCCTCCCTCCCCACCCTCCTCTCCCACCCCTGCACAAAGGTGCCTGTCATCAGTGACAATATTCACCAAGTGGACATGTCTGTGTAACCAGCAGCTAGATCATCATTTTGCCACTGTCTCTGGGGGTTACCAAGTTCCTGTATTGTGTTCCCTACAATGAGAGATCTAGTTTGCTGCTGGCCTGTTTCCTTTGGCCCAGGTGCTATTCCAAGAGATTTGCATATGCTCACTGACCTGTGCAGCAACACTATAGGTAAGCCCTGCAGTCACTCCATTTTACAGATGGAGAGATGGGCTCTGAAGCACTAAGTTGCCCAAGGTCACCGGCCCCAGCACTGTTCATCAGCAGTGCTTCCTTCTGTCAGCTTTAGGTCCAATCTGAAGACTTTGAAGCATCTCACAAACACTTGCCTTGCCAGCACCCCAGGCTAAGTTGTTTTCTTGGACTTGTTTTGGACAATGATAATGATGATGATGAAGATGGTTTGAAATACTGGAAATTCAGCCCAGGGGTGCTCTACTGCTGAGCTCCATGATTGATTGATTGATTGATTGATAGATATTGGGGATTGTACCACTGAGCTACAGCCCCAGTCTTTTTAATTTTTATTTTGAGACAGGGTCTTGCTACTTTTCCTGAGGCTGGTCTCAAACTTACCATCCTCCTGCTTCAGCCTCCTCAGTAGCTGGGCTTACAGGCATGCACCACTGTACCCAGCTTGTAATTTTTAAAATAAAAGAAATAAAATGGTACCAATAATATAAAGTACCTTTCTACCCCCAATCTCTCTGTTTTACTCTCCTCCTGAGAGACTGCTGTCACCAAACTTGGTACATACCCTTCTAGTACATGATGGTCCTCTACAGATGTGTGTCTGTAAGTGGTGTATGTACTGTGTTTTTTTTTGGAGGGGGGGTGTTACCGGGGATTGAACTCAGGGGCATTAGACTACTGAGCCACATCCCTAGCCCTATTTTGTGTTTTATTAGAGACAGGGTCTCACTGAGTTGCTTAGCATCTCTCTAAGTTGCTGAGGCTAGATTTGAACTTGTAACCCTCCTGCCTCAGCCTCCTGAGCCACTGGGATTACAGGCATGGGGCACTGTGTTCGGCTTCAGTTATGTTTTGAGAGATGAACAAGTTGACATGAAACTTTTCTGTTCAGGTACTGTTACTTTCCCTCATATGAGTATGCCACATCTTATTCTGTCTGCTTTGATGGTGTTCAGCTTTCGTTTATTGCAAACAACAAGCGGTGACTATCCTAGTGCATGTTATTTTGCACCCAAGAAACATTTCCCCAGCATGTAAGCATTGTGGAGAGTCAGTATATGCCTGGGTCAGTGCAGAGAGCACGCACTTTCTTACCTCCTGAAGTGCCTCATTCTTAGTGCTCTTCTTATTGCCCACAGTCATACTGTCTGACCTTCAGATTTGTGCCTGTTGAAAACTGGACAGTGGCATCTGGATAGAATTTGTATTGTCTGATTACTAATGAGGTGAGCATCCTTTCACGCCTTTTTGTGTGTGTGTGTGTGTGTGTGTGTTGCTGGGGATTGAACCCAGGACCATGTGCATGCGAGGCGAGCACTGTACCAACTGAGCTATATCCCCAGCCCCCTTTCACACATTTTTATAGCTTGATCTCTCTCCTCTCTTGTCTTCTAAAAAATGGAGGTGAGAAGTATTCCTCTAGTTACTGGGAGAATAGAATGAATTCACGTACAGGACCACAAAGAATATAGAACAGTACCTGAAGAGTAACAAGCATAAGTGGCTTTCTTTAGCTCATTACTCTGAAACAAATTCAGATGTGGGAAGCAAATAGAATATAAAGAAATGTTTTGAACTGGCTCTCACCATCCAGATCAAAAACTACCAGTTGTCAATAATCCTAGAAGCCCCCGCTTTGCACCTCAATCCTAAACAGCCTCTTCCCTCAAAAACCGTATTTCTTATTTATATGGCTTATCAACCAGGTCTGACTGTGGTGTAACCGCCATAATCTGGTCTTGCCCATTTTCTGACCCTGATTATAGCTGCACCTGCCATCTGCAGGCTTCAGGTCCAACCTCTGTTGGTGTTACTGTTTTTATCACTAGGGTCATTTGCTGGCCATATGAATGGAAGGGGTGCAGAGAGCACACACCTGGGGTGCTACTTGACCACCCAGTATAGAAAAAATGCTTGACATTTCTGTCTTGTTTACTTAGTTTTGAAGATAAAGAGCTGAATCGTTTTTATAATGAGAAGGTGATGAAGTAACTTTTTAAAAAATTTAATATTTTTATGAACTCATAAATGTAAATGCATTTGATGAATTTTGATCTGCTGCAGTTCTGATCCTTTTTTTACCTGCAAATTGGCCTGCCTTTGGCCAGCAGGACCCTCTTCAAGTTGACTTCTGCATCCTTTTGACTGGCCTCCACTGATGCTGATGGCCACCTTGCTGTCTGGGTCAGGATACTCAACCCACCAGTGCACTTCCTGCCCTAGACCCTGCATTGCCCAGCCTCCAGGAAGGATGGTTTCCTTCATGGGAGGGGGTGTTTCTAGACCTTCAGCGTGCATAATACCAGGCTGCAGGCTGGTCATTGTTTCTACATGTTTTAGGTGGCAGAGCTAGGAAACAGGGAACAGTGGATGTATATGTATATAGGCTGCCTGAGATAACAAGACCATGCACCTGTTCAATTTGGGGTTTGTTTTTGGTACTAGAGATTGAACCTAGAACTCTACCACTGAACTTCATTCCTAATCCTTTATTTTATTTATTTTAAGACAGGGTCTTCCTCAGTTGCCAAGGCTGGCCCCCAACTTTTGATCCTTTTCAGTCTCCCAAGTTACTGTGGATAACAGGCATGCTCTAGTGCACCCACCTATCCACCTGTATTTTTAAGAGTAAAATAC